AACAAAAAAAAGTCTGGATACGACAACTTTAAGAAAGAGTTTCTTAAAAAAAATGAAGGAAAATTTAGTGGTCTAATAGAAGCCAATGACTCAATGAGAGAAAGTTGGCGAAAATTATCAAATGCTGAACAAGAAAGATATAGAAACATGGCTTCGTTAGATAGACGAGGCAAGGAATCAGCATCTTGTTCCACGGCAACGGTATCACTCACTTTTATTTATTCTAAATTAATGAGGTTTTTTAGTATGATTGTTATGCATTGTATGGTGTTATATTATTCTTCTTGGTTTGTAGGTTTCATTTAATACGTGTTGCTCTCCTGGCTAGTTCAAGGAAGTTGTGGAATACATATCCAAACATAAAAGGTTATGTACCAAGGTCAAGAAAATGAGGTTCTAATCTCTCTTGGATTTTAAATTTAATAAGCTACCGAGAAAGTTATGTGAACAAGTAATTGCTGCTTTTGACACACCAACCTTAACACTTAGAATTAGAGGGATGAAATTAAGTGTTGATGGAAAGGATGTGCACACTATCTTAGGTGTGCCTTATGGTGGGAAAGCTATTTTTTTAGATGATGACAGCGAAGCATGTCAAGCATTAAAGAAGAATTATCTTGGCAAACCCTTCACTGAGTTGAAGAGTATGGTAATATCCGGCAGGGCTAAAATTTTTTTTGAAATGGTGTTTTTGTTATTCACTTTTAGAACATTTCTTTATCCCACAACAAGTACAACTGTTAGTATGAGCAGTATTAAAAGTTTGAGTGGGAAGAAAAATGTTCAAGAGTATGATTGGTCATCTTTTGTGTTGTCGGAGCTTATTAGAGAAATTTCGACTTATAAGACAGCATTAAGGAGTGGAGGAAGGAAGAAGAATGTAGGAGGATGCTTATTTTTCTTATTGGTAAAGACTATTTAAAATCCTTCTATATTTTGTTCCAATTTATTTGTTATTGATTAGATTATAATTATCCTTTTGGTGCAGATATTTTACATGCACCACTTTCCATTAGGCCTAACATAGTCAATAGATGGTGGAATGCTTGTGATGCATTTGTGGAACTAACACATGGTGCAAAAACGGGTTAAGCTAGAAAAAGAAAGCATCCACGGCATTCTTTATGGTGGTCAGGCTAATGAAGTGTCTGAAGTTTTACCTCCACTTGCAACGATAACTCACCCGGTATATAAATGTTTATAATTTATTATCTATGTTTTGGTTTTCACTTACTTAATAAGCTTGGTGTTGAAACTTGGTTAGGGTGTGAGGGAGATATACGAAGAATTTTCACAATATGCCAATACATTTGCAAGTAAAGTGCTGAAGTTGCAATAAAGTCTTAACCAGCTTCAAATATCTGATAGTAATCATGTGGGTTGGCAAACCAAGCGAAGAAGAAGTAGAGGAAGAGGAATATGGAGATAAAAATGAAGCTGAAGAGATGATGAAGATGGAGACAAGAGCAAAGATGAATCTGAAGATGCACATGAAGCTGGGGATGAAGATGAGGATGACGATGGACATGAAATTGCAGCTGGAGCTGGATCTAAAGAAGATGAAGATGAAGGCTCCAATAGTAAGGAAGAAAGTGATGAAAGACAAGATGGTAAGAAGAGGAGGAGAACAGATGAAAGCCCAATGGTTCGAAGGTCTGAGAGGAAAAGGGTTGAGGTAAATTGGTCACCTTTTTTAAAAGAACCAATACAAGAGAGAATTACAAAAGAATAACAAATATATGAATATTGCATTAGGCGGACTAATCAAGCAGAGGGTGAAGAGCAAGTAATGTGATATTACTTTTCGATAATCATGGTGCATTATGATTGATATAATAACACTTTTTTTGATAGGTGTGTCGTTGAGATGTACAATTACTACTTAACTAGGGCTGAATGCCAAAGTCTTGGTCCTAAAAAATGGATAAGTACAGCGGTATGTCTAATAGTTTTAATTAATTAGTTGCTTAATTGGATAGCACATTGAGTATTGGATGTGGTCCTTGTAGGTCATGAGCATGGTCACAAAAGTGATGGTTGGTGAGCAACTTCGTGAAGGGAAGGTGCGGAGGTACATATTTGATTCAGAATTTATGGCCACCCTAAGGGATAAAAAGTTAAGATGGTCTGTCTTTGAGGATGCAAAGATGCTCATGCCCGACCAACTTGGATATAACCTTAGAAATTGTGATTACCTCTTCTTGCCCATGCTTGTGTTCAATCACTAGTTTTGTTATTGTGCTGATTTAAAAAATGATAAGTTTTTCATCCTTGATTCATTGGCTGGGAAGTTATTTAAAGAGAAGAAGATGATGGCCGGATTTATAGTATGCTTTATTAGTGCTTTTGCATAACTACTTTAGGTTACTTAAATTTTTAGATGGGAATGGTTATCTAACTCTGAAACTATTTGTAGAGAACTAGCATAATTGAGTTGTTACAAGCATGTGACCCCGAGAGATATGGAGAGGATTTTTAGATGGAGATGATATTTGAAGAACTTCCCAAACAGAGTAATGTGTAAGTAACTATCTATGAAAACAACTACCTTTTAATGTATTCATTTCTAGTAGAAAATTTGCCTTACCTCAATTGCTCATATTTGTAGAGATGATTGTGGGGTATATGTGATAAAGTACTGTACAGAATGGGATGGTAGACGTAGAAAAGGAGGACTGAACATGGAAGACTTTTCAAACGTATGTATATGTGATCCATAATCTTTCTAATTTTTTTCTTCCAATTATCAATGTGAAACTTAAACTTTCTTTATATTTTTTTAGGAACAACTGAGACAGTTTAGGGTGGATGTGGTGTGGTGGCTGGTAAATCACACGAGAAATGAAGTAAGAAACAAAGCATTTGCCTTTGTCTCAGCAGCTAGTCGACCAAAGAGGGCAGGAAAGAAGTGTAGATGAATTTTTAATCTGTGATATGTTTTCATCATTAATCTTTGATGGGTGTGATGCATTTGCCTCGCTGAAGGTCCTGCTCCTCATCAACGTTCACCATTCTGATTTTGTAGAAATTGCCTCTTCTTCAATTTTTTCCCTCACGTGTTTTAGCTAAAGGTGGACTATGTAATTTGTACAAGTGAGGACATGCTCAATTGAATTTGAAGCTGTATCCAAAATTTAGGGCTTATAAGAATATTTTTACCAATACATTGCAGGGCGTATAAGAATAGAATTTTTGGCTGCAAATTTAGGCTGGCCTTTGTGGGATATGCTTGATTAATTTTGTATCCAAAACATGTTATTTGATCAAAATTTGGTCACATGTATGCATTTTACCTAACTGAATTATGATTTTGTGTAAACAAGATTGCCAACACCTTCATTTGAATTTTATATCACAAGTACTAATTAATACTTATTATTTTCAACAAATTAAAATAACATGTATTTCCTGCCAATTGATACAGCCGGGCTGCTATTTATATTACTTTAATCATATGGTGATCCAATTCAATGTAACAAATGAATCATGCAATTTTCTAAATAAAACACTCGTTGTGACTATCAAGCAAGCTGAACAAGCAGCCAAATCAATTATATATAGCCAATGTCGCAATTGTGTGTCAAAATTTTAGGTGGGGTAAGTAATGAATTCTCAACAAAGTTATTATTTCAGGACAAAGCTCCAATAATTTGCAAGTGAGAAATCAAATTTTGCAATACCCTTAGAAACAATTTGCAACTGGTACTCCAAATTTTGGATCGAAAAACTATTAAATTCGTTGAAGAGTCAACTCCTTTAGGACAAAGCTCCAGTAATTTGCAAGTGAGAAATCAAATTTTGCGATGCCCTTAGAAACAATTTGCAACTGGCACTCTAAATTTTGGATCGAAAAACTATTAAATTCGTTGAAGAGTTAACTCCTTTAGGACAAAGCTCCAGCAATTTGCAAGTGAGAAATCAAATTTTGCAATGCCCTTAGAAACAATTTGCAACTGGTACTCCAAATTTTGGATCGAAGAACTATTAAATTCGTTAAAGAGTTAACTCCTTTAGGACAAAGCTCCAGTAATTTGCAAGTGAGAAACCAAATTTTGCAATGCCCTTAGAAACAATTTGCAACTGGTACTCCAAATTTTGGATCGAAGAACTATTAAATTCATTGAAGAGTTAACTCCTTTAGGACAAAGCTCCAGTAATTTGCAAGTGAGAAACCAAATTTTGCAATGCTCTTAGAAACAATTTGCAACTGGTACTCCAAATTTTGGATCGAAGAACTATTAAATTTGTTGAAGAGTTAAATCCTTTAGGACAAAGCTCCAATAATTTGTAAGTGAGAAACTAAATTTTGCAATTCCCTTAAAAACAATTTGCAAATGGTACTTCAAATTTTGGATTGAAGAACTATTAAATTCGTTGAAGAGTTAAATCCTTTAGGACAAAGCTCCAGTAATTTACAAGTGAGAAACCAAATTTTGCAATGTCCTTAGAAACAATTTGTAACTACTACTCGAAATTTTGGATCGAAGAACTATTGAATTCGTGGAAGTATTTTGCAATTTAGACACCAAATTTTGCAAATTCCTTACAAAAAATTGGCAACTCATACATGAAATTTTGGATCATCGAACTAGAAGATATGAACTGTTCATGTAAGAAACATGTATTAATTCATCTAATGCATCTGCACATATCAGCTGTCCACATAGATAAAGGCATGAACTTGGATTTACAAACGAAGGGTTGCTATGTACCAAAAAAACCCCTAATACTACCAATATATATCTATATAAACCTATACATGTCAACCAAATCCAAGTTGATCTAGTCTCATGTTATAGAAACATTAACTTGGATTTACAAAACAGAGGCTGCTATATGCCAAAAAGAAATCTCTAAAACAACCATTATGTTTATGTCACCCAAATCCAAGTTCATGTGGTAACCCATTTACAATAACATCAACTTGGATTTGGATTTCTACACCTCTTCCTCGTATGACCTGCTTCATGGCAGCGAGAACAATGATAAACCTTCTTTTGTTAATGTTGAAACTCGATCCTCACATGACGAGGTCTGCCAGTTGGTCGAAATGTTCTAGGAGGCAGCAAAAAGGTTTGTTTCATGAGCTGAGATACTGTTAACGCATTTGGCTTTGGCATGTCATGGGTCTTAACAGGATGCATAGTGCTACTGTATATTTTCTCTTGTGAGCTATGAAGATAACATTCCTCGAAATAGTTATACACATTACCATGCACTTCTTTAATGGCTGCACAAGCATATGGGCAAGGAATGCTAAACATTTGCCAAACTTTGCATGTGCATTCCTTTAGTATCAGATTCACACATACATCTCCACATGATGTCCGAACCAATGCAATATGTGAGCCATGCAGCTGAACTATCATAACTTCTACCCTAAAAATATTTTCCTTCAACTTTGCTTCAACATTGGGACCAACTATGCTTTTCCACTTACTCATGGCTGCCTTACTTGCAAAAAATTTCTTGCTCAACTTGTCCCTATGCTCATTTATAAGAACACATATATTATGCCTCCTCTCCTCAAGAATCCATGCATTGAATGATTCGGCCAAGTTGGTTGTTATCTTATCCCATCTTCAAAATGGGAACAACGATAGTGCCCACCGATCAACATCGCCTTGATTTTCAACCCATCTTGCTAATTATGGAGAGAACATCCTCAAATTTCTCATGGCTATATGAAATTCGTGCTCATGCCTTGCATAGGCAATGTAATCAAGCAACTTTAGTGCCTCTTCTTTGCTGTTCCTTCCCATTCCCCTACAAACTTTGTTAAACTCAGAGCTAAAATTCTCCTTAACATGTCGATAGTAAAATGCATGTCTATCACCACCAAATATGGCTCTAACAGCACCAATAATAGCATTATTTCTATCAGAAACAATAGTTACCTGTAGCAAACCAAGGATATCTTTAATATTTTGAAGAAACCAAGTCCAATATCATGAGTTTCACTCCCAACTACTGCAAAAGCTAATGGAAACAACTCATTATCGGCACCGTATGTTGAAGCTGCTAGTAAGGTGCCTTGATAAGGACCATTGAGAAAACATCCATCCACCTATAAAATAGGCCTAGCCCCAAGCAAGAATCCTTTAATGGAACAACCATATGCAATAAATAAATGTTCAAATCTATTGTTCTCAGAAGCCACCCATTTTGCTACAGTGTCAGCATCAGTCTCCATTAGTCTATTACACAACCAAGGAACAAGCATATATGATTGGTCAGGAAGCCCATTTATTTCTACCAATGCCCTTTCTTTTGCTCTTAAAGCTTGACGATAAGTTAAACTTATGCCATAGTCTCTATATATGTCAGCTTTGATTTCATTGGGTCTTTTATCCACATTAGACCTTACTATGTCATCAATTATAGACGAAGTCAGTGTACAACTTGTATTGTAAGAAACTTCAAGGTCTTCTTGGGTAGAATGTAAGTGCTCATTCTTGAAAGTTGTTACATGAAGTAAGGGCATAGACTTCCTTAATGAATATGCTGTTATCTTCCATTGACATCCTTTTACCTTGCAAACTGAAATTATTTTATTTGTGTCGTTCTTCATAAATTTAAATTCAAACTTGTGTGCAATATTATACTTGTAGATTGCTTGTCTACAATCATCAGCACTCGCAAAAATCTGCCCAGGTTCTACTAGCAAATCCTTCCACTTTATTACATTTAGCTTAGGCATTGGTGTTGGGATACTTTGTATTGCACATGGTAGAACTTCAAGATCTTGTGTAGCATGTGAATTCTCAGCTGAAGATCCTACTCTGTATTTTCATTCAAATCATATTTATTACTACCATCCATATTTATATTAGCACAATATTAATTATACAACTATTAAAAAAACTTACCTATCAATTGAATCTCTTGTTGCCTCTGTACTTTGTTGTATCTTCCCAATTATGTACACATGAGCAAAATTATCATTCAATTTCATTAATTGATTTATCCCTTCATCATCTTTAAGGTCTAAAAGAGCATTGCAATCAAATTTTACTTTGTACTTCAACTCTATTCCATTTAAATCACAATTCAAGCATGATGAAATCAATCTAACAAGTCCTTCAAGAGACATTCCTTCTCTAATCATTCTTCCATTACAACTCCCCCCATCATAATGCATTGTCCCATGCATATCTTTTACAATATCTCCACCAAAATGAAAATAACAAAAAATTTTCTTTACACAACTACTTTCCATCGTACCCAATAATATCAACCTATAAGAAACAAAAAAAATGTAATAATATATCACTTAGAAACAAGTTACTTTTGACATAAGTGATTTTCGCATTAGTCAAACAGTGACAGCGTTTCATCTTAAAATATGGACACTCGATGATAATTTCTTACACTTTCAGTTGCAAAATGTCGAATCTTCATGCCAAATATTTTAGAACGTCAAATAACAAAAAATTCTTTCATGTTCAGTTGCAGAAAATTGTTCCATCTTTTTCCTTACGAAAGCCATTTTGCAAGAAATCAAACCTTCATGAAGTAAACCTTTTTGTTCAAATGAAAGGATTTGCAAAAAAAAAAACCTGTCTACACGCACCAGCACAAAACCTTAAGCTTCCTTGAGTCAATAATTAAGGCAACTCCACCTCTTCCAAGCATAACTCTATTTCAGGAATGGGTACTCTTTAACGTACAGCTCTACCTCTTACATGCACCTCTCATTAATGGCGGGAAAGAGACAAACCGAGAGGGAAATGTTGGAGATGATGAGTGTACATGTTATATTTACTCATAGGGGCATTTTCATCATTTCTTTCATAATTCTGATTGGGGAAAAACAACATGGGACTTGATTGGCCTTTTAGAATTTGTTGGGACTTAACTGATATAAAATTGGTCTTTTGGGACTTAATTGTCATTTTTCCAACAATCATTGAAGAGGAGGGGGTGGGGGGAGGTGGAGTTGGATTCAACCCAATTCATTAGCACCATCGCGGATGAATCACAATTAAATCCTTCCTTGCTTGGGTTGGCTCTCTCTCTCTCTCTCTCTCTCTCTCTAATCAATATTTTGATATAAAAATCTAAAAATTAAGGAGATTAATTTAGTAGAAAAAGTTAACCCCTCATTATATGGTGAATTAAAGTTTAAATTTTTATTAAAAGAGGTACCTATATTTAATATTTGATAGTGTCTCAAATAAGATTGTTTCTAATAAAAAGATATCCTATACTTGTGGGTAACCAAAAAATATTACATCTAAAATACCATTTAGGGTTAGATCTAGTAAAATAGGTTAGTTTTTCATAAAATAGCAAACAAAAGTTTGAATTTTTCGTGGGGAGGGATGCCCACATTTAGTGTCTAATAATATCTTCAATAGGATTATTTCTCATAGAAGGATACTCATAGGTTAAAAAAAATATACTTTCTCCTTTAAAAAATGTAAGGCATTTTTAATTAAATTTCACCTTCTAATAAAGTAGTTACCTACTTTTTAATTAATCTTATTTTTTCATATTTACTCATATTAAATACTTTACAATAAACATAAAGTTATTGTCAATAGGGGCTCTTTTGAAAAAAAAAAGGCAATGATTACACCTCAAAAGACTAAAAATGCCTTATATTTTACATAAAATTTCTTAAAAAATGCCTTACATTTTTAAATAGATGGAGTATATATATAATATATACAACTCATAATAAGAATAAAGTGATATATGAATGACAATCAAAATTTAAACCTTCATAATATAAAGATAGAAACAAAATACTGTTCTAATCCGCATAAAATTCAAATCTTCATGAGGAGTTGAATTGACAAATTGGATTTTTTAAGTCTGGTTTTAAAATTGAAACACTGAAAGTCATGATTAATAAAAATCAGAAATGATCAGAATTCAAAGTAGTCAAGAATTGATAAAACTGTATTTTATTTTTATATAACATTATTACCTATAAAAATTAAAAATGTATTAATTTAATTGTGACCAATTGGATTATCGTGAATAATAAAGTTTAAATTAGTATCTCTGTTGATCCGATGATACTGATCCATCTTCTATTAAAAACATTTATAAATAATGATTTTGAGTAGAATATTATTTTCTTTTAAAAATATTTTTTATTTTGCTTCTAAGAAAAATATTCAATTTCTTGCTTCTTTTTTACCAAAAAAAAAATTCTTTTGCTATCATCATATAATTTTTAGTTGAAAAACAATTTCACCAAACATGTTGAAATATCAAATAATACTTTTTATTTAAGAAAAGAAAAATAGCTTCTTTCTAAAATATCAGTCAAACAAGCAGAAAATTATGAATCAAAGTACTTTGGGAACATGACATGAAAATCTATTTGAATTATCTAAATAATATTTTAATCCCATAAAATGTCATAATTCTCCTGAAATCTCTAAGAACTTTTTTGTCATTAAAAAATTAATATAAAAGACCAAATTACCTTAATTGAAATAAAAATTTCAAGCCTCAGCACAAATATTTGCAAACTTGTGAATTATTATTAAATTCTTGCAATTTTAGGAGCGAAAGTTATGAATATTAGAACAAAATTTATGAATGACAATTGATATTTATAACATTTGAGGAATATCAAGATTTCAAATGTAAATTTGTGAATTGCTATTGAATTCTTACGAATTTAAGATGAAAAATTGTGAATTTTAATACAAAACTTGTGAATAGAAATTGATATTTGTAATACTTGAAGAATATCACGATTTCAAATATGAACTTGTAAATTGTTATTGAATTCTTGTGAATTTAAGAAAAAATATTATAAATCTTAAAACGAAACTTACGAATCAAAAGCGTGAAATATCTGTTCTTATGCTTGGGATTTTTATTTTAATCAAGGATAACTTAGTCTTTTATATTAATTCTTTAATAATAATAAAAAATTTAGAGACTTTAAAAAAATTATGACATTTTGAAGAATTAAAATATCACTTATATAATTTAAAAAAATTTTATTATTATTTTTTCAAATACTTTTGGCCAAAAAGAAAAGAAAAGAAAGAAAGAGAGGACTCAAGGACAAAATGGCACACTTCTACGAGTAAAAATAAAATAACAATATAACTTTATGTGAAATAAACACAACTTATAATCGAAGAAGAACGCTTAAATCAATCCAAAAAAGAATAAATAATCTAATCGTAATGTTTAAGAGACTTAGCTGTAATTAAAAAAATAGCAACTGGAATATGACATGGAAAAGCACTATTCTGAATATATGGAGGTAGAGGATTTAAAATATACATTGATTTTTTCTTTTTTCTTTGTTTTTTTTTTGGAGGGTTTAAAGTGGAAAGAGATTATCTGAAGTAATATGAAATTATATATTTCTCATATATTAAGCTCAATCACCTTTTGCAATTATTATTTTTTTAATAGGGATTAAGATTACTTAATTTTAGTAGCATTTTAATACACCCAAATGACAAATAATATAAAAATGACCTTTAAGAATCAGCTGCATAAATCAGGTTGCTGCTAGCAGAATAGCGCTTTATTTTAATTAACGATTTCTTAATAGTCTACTATACGAAACTAAGATTTGAGTTTTTTTTCGATAAAAAGGATCAATATATTAAAAAAAAAAAGAAAGAAAGTTAAAAAGTACAGTAGTCCAAAAGAAAAATGGATGGACAGTTGAAGTTAATTTAACATTTGTAACTGAAAAGCATTAATTTCCTTATGATTTAGAAATATGGTGCATGTAAAGAAAATGCCTGAATTAGATTTTTTTTTTAAATACATTTTCCATTCTATAAAATTTTGATGATTCTTCCAAGAAAAATTTGAATTTTGTCCAAACCATTGTATCATTCTAACTACTTTGAGATTGATCTGACCTTTGCAGATTGCATGATCATTCCAAAACAAATCTCAGTTAAGAAGAAGAATTGATGGCGAAATTCTAAGATTAGCTGTAAAAAAAATTATTATTTTTTCATTAGTACAATGCAAAACTTGACAAGGAAAATATAAGCAAAGTAATTTGCCAGTCCTCTTAATTTTTCTTGGTTTTAAATTAAGTTCTTGTAAATTATTTTGTTTTAATCAAGTTCTTATAATTTATTTCATTAAATATGTTAATCTGTGAAGGTAATAATTATTAATGAATGATTCATTTTTTCAAAAAAAAAAACACTTTTAAACTTTATATAAAATTTGAATTAATATTTTTGGGCTAAAAAAGAAGAATGTGATTTAATACAATGTTTACATTTTTATTAAATTTTTATAAAAATTTTATATGTATAAAAGCTATTTAGAATACATAACGAAATTATATGATTTTTGATTTTATAAAAATTATGTAATTAATTCTAAAATTATATTTAAACAAAAATATAAAATTTCTTAATTTAATTTTTTTAAAATAAAAAATTTGAGAATTTTAACTTCCAGGGACAAATATGTTTAAACAATCAAACTATGAGTACTTGATTAAAACAAAATAAGCTATACATACCTTTT